TTCTCTCAAAACTCCAATTACCAAGACTTATCTTTCCCCATGTAAACTTTCAACATTCATTTACACTGTAAGCGTACAGGAAAAAATGTACTAAGTGTGTTGAAAACTGAAAAGAGAAAATATAAAATTCATTTTTGTGGACAATGAAACAAATGACAGGTTCTAAGTACAGTTGATATGGGGATGTTAATTAATAGAGTAACTTGAAAAAAATGCTTACTATAAGCCATCTTGATATGGAGTTTAAAGTTGGGTTTGAGCAACATAAAACCTGGAATATTTATCTTCCATTTAAGATTCAAATTGATAAAGAGCCATGGAGGCCTTTGTATTTACATTATAGAAGCCATATATTAACTAGACCTTTAAACACCTCTGAAACATAATATTTATGACTGACATCTGTTTGTGTCTTTCTTGACCAAACCCTTCAATATTGCTCAGGGGACCTAGTTGCATTTCAAGCCATTTAGCTTTGCTTGTGTATTGTATCAGAACTCCTTGGGTCTTCCTCAAATCTTTCAGACTCAGCTGACACTGTTCTGTGTTATGTTTCATGTACTGCCTTCCTCTCTTACCTAATAGCAGTATCAATCTTAAACACAGGAAATCTTATAAAAATGAAAGAGATCGTTAAAATCTTCCAACAATCACTGGATTGCCATTCAGACCCTACTATAAACTCAGTGAATCACCAGCACAGTCCAAAGGACAGATGGACTGCCTGTAAGCTTTTGGCTGTAAAATATCCTCTAATTTGAGATAAACATTTTGGGTAATTTTTGATAGACTTGATGTTTGAATGGGCCTTTCTTGCTCTTCAAGAAAGCAAAAAATCAGAAAGCATGGAGACTTTCCCACCATCAAGAATGGGAGAGAAAAAGGCATTCATAAAGCAATGAAAATAAAGTTACATGTGAACAGTTTCACAGAGTAAAGAAGTAAGGACTTGACTGCTTCAGTGCATTTTTTTACCTCTTCTTCACTAACCCAGTAACTCACGTTCCTAAAAATGTTATTACCAAAAAAGCAATTTTTAAAATTATTGTATACTTATTGATGTTTTTCTTCCAGGAGGCATTTCTCATTCTATGTTCTATCTCTTTCAAATGTATTTCTCTCAGTATTCAGCTACAGAATTCTATTTTCTGTTCCTATTTCACTTGACCACTTCTTCTGCCTTCAAGAGATTACGAGATAACTGCTCCACTTGTTGAAACGGGTGTTATCTCTACAGAGACCAAAATAACTGAAAGCCTGACAAATGCCTCACAGAAGAGATTTTACCCTCAAAATACCTCCCTGAGACAAAGAAATCACATTGCAGATGAGGAAATGATGCTTGGGTTAGACTAACTTGATTCGTAACTCCCTGAGCTAGCACCAGAGTAACCTAACTTGAGTTTCCTCTGCTTTGTACAGAGTTGAACATGACTTATAAAGGTCTCATTGAACCTAAATTATTCTATGATATTATGGTTCTGTGAATTAGAAATCCAATTTAAAACTTCCTTTTTTAAAAAAACAAACAAAACCTTACACTTTCAGATTTTTTTCCACTCTGACTTCACTGGCTCTTTGTCAAACACCCCAAACACACATGAATCAAAATTAGTTTTTTTACTGTTTTTTTTTTACTGATTTTTATGACTCTTAAGCATTTTCCTTGTGATTCTACAACTATGTGCAATGTTTTACACTGTCATTTCTTGTTATCTTTACTTAGGTTCTTTATAAAGCCATCAATTGAGCTGCAAGACAACATAGTAAAGTGCACTGACACCTTAAGTCAGTTCTACTTCCTGACAGGATAACCTTACACCTACAGTGAACCTTGGGTAAACCTGAACACAGGCAATATGAATGTGATCCTGACAGGAATATATATTCAATGTAATAATCCCTCCTACACTATTAAACTAATAATCCCTCCTACACTATTAAACTTGCTCGTTGCCTTCACATCCAGTAGGACCCTTCAAACAGTCAAAGAGAATTCATATGAATTCTGAATTCTGGACACATCTATGAAAACGTCATCCCACGAATAAGAGGCAAGGTGTTTAGAAAACCTTTTGCAAACTACAACTAAAAATAACAGTGTGAAATATGTGATACCTACCTTCCCTCTTTGCAGTTACACAGGAACGTATCATGTCTATGTCAGATTACGGTGTTTATTTTTTTGCAAACCTGTGACTACAGTCATCCATAAAAGATATATTCTAGAGTCTAAGAAACTCTGACAGTATATTTGCTGACTGGTAACACAGTAGAGAGAGATCTCTTCCTGCCTTTTTAAAAGGCTAAGTTTTAGAACTAAAACTTTCACGTTTTTCATTTTGCTTCCTTATAAACCAGCTCACTGCTTATTAATTACTGGTGGTAACTGCCATAGGCAAAAATATAAAAATCATATGGATATTTGATAAAGATAAAAATCTGTAAGACGCTTATAAAGTACATGACTTCAATCACTCAAGCACTTCAACAAACACTTCCCATTTCTTTCCTATTTCATTATTCTGCTTTCATCCTTCTTTACTTGTTTACTTACTCTTTCATTTTTGTTACTTTTTTTGTCTTTTCTTTAATCTCTATCATAATCCCATACACACATAAGTACAAACAGTGCTCTGTGTGAAGATTTAAATTCTTTGCTATTTTCTTTTTCCTTCTTACATGCCTCATGAGGTTCTGACACTCCTCTTGTATGTTTCTGCCTGCAGCTTACTCATAAATATTCAAACCCCTTTCCCACCACTGCTGGCATTTCTTCACTCACACAAGCATTCCTGAATGATATCTTTCACTTCAAATATCTTCTCTGTCCTTCATATGTCTTGTCTCTCCCCTGGTGCTTCTATTCATACATTGCTGCTCTCTTTCCTTACCAATCTCTCTCTACCTGTGTGATTGTTCTCTCTCTTCCTCAAACACGCTTAGGAAATATTCATGTGTTTTCGTTGCCCACCGTTCTCTTAATACCACTGCTTTTCTTCTTTCTTCCAATGGATACAGTGTAAAGGAAGGAGGTAGCTGTATTTATGGCCCTGTGCTTTTCACAATAAATAGCCACAGCAGTCCTGGCAGGGCAGACAAATGAAATTCCTGTTACAGCAACTTATCTATTTCCATTTCTGGATATTGCACTAATGTCAGACTCTACAAAATAGATCAGCAAACATAGAGCTAGTGTTTGCTAGTGTGTGTGTGAGGGCACACACACAGTCCCTTTGAGAAAGAGGAAGAGCAATAAGGACAGTATAAAGTTAGTGTTTCCTTCATACCAGTTCCAGTGATGAATTTACAGTAATAAAAGGAAAGAAATTACTGCATTACTTTTGCTAGAAGTAAAGAAGTTTACTAGATCTCATAATACAATCCACTTCCCTAAGAATAGAGAGGTTAACTATAATAATCTTGCCTATCAAACCTACATATGGAAGAGATTCCATCACTTCCACTATGTAGCTATCTTGCTCCAAATGCTAATTTTAGGACACTATTGTTCCAGTATATATAAAAACATATATATTTCAGTATATAAACTGTAACACTTTATAAAGTTTTGTCCAACACTGACATTTTTTTCCCAGAAAGAATGAAATATTTCTGTCCTTTTCACAGCAACACTTACCACTTTAAGAGATCATTTACTTCTATCTTCTTAAACAAGTGATCTTTCAACTTCTATACCCATCTCTAACTTTCTACCTCTTCTAATATTTTGTAATTTTCCTCTGGACTGTCTTCAACTTGAGACTAAACACAGTTGGCTTCATCAACCCATTGCAAAAAGATAATTTGTCCTGTCAAACGCACTGCACACCTATTAATACACTCCACAGTGATGCTGTCTTTTTTCTTTAATGGTAGCACATTGCTGACTCATTACATTACAGCCCCCAGATTATTTTCTTTAGTGCTGTTATTTTGCCAGTATCCTTTGATTTTACTTTTTAATTTTTCTTCCCAAATATAATTTGCATGCGTCAGTATCACGTTTTCTCCTGCTTCTTCCAAGACATTTCTTTAACTTGTGCTTAATTATTCATTTCTTTAATTTGACTTCCCATATTTGTCACCAAAGTGCCAACAGGTCCTTTTAGCTTGCTGACAACTCTGTATAATAATTTCATCATTCACATCACTAAGGATCAGAAGAACAGAATATGCCTTTAGATCAAGCACTTAACATGGAAAAAGTATATCACATAAGGAATTCTGCTTAAACAGGATTACTTTTGATTAGGCACGCCATGACTTCTTCACCTAACTGCCTTACTCTTAAGATACCAAATGATGGTCTTTTAATTTCAGACACTGGCCTCAACTACCAGACCGTGGAAGTTTTGTATCGGGTAGTCTTCTACTTCCTGTTTGTCCCATCTAATTATCGAGTATCTTTGCATATTTTTTGATAACCAAACAAAAAAATAAGCTTAGAATTTTAAATTCCTTTTTTTTTTCTCTTCCAGTAAACTTGGAGTTTTTAGGGTTTTTTTTTTCCCCCTCCCCTTTTTTCCCCGAGATGCATTATTGCAATATCATGTCCACTGATGTTATGCATCACCTCACTTTCCTTTCACTGGATGACATATCAAAGGCAGCATAAAAAGTCCCGTTAACCATTAAATGACTGCAAGAGTAGTTCATCTGCCGTAATCACAAAGCATTTTGAATACGCCAATATCCAGCATGAAGTTAGTCTGTGCTACAGTATTTCACATGCTGTTTTCCCTTAAGTGCATGGCCCTGTTTTCGGAAGCATTCAGCGATTTTCACCACCCAAGCAGCACCGCGGGCAGGGGAGCGCGGCGTTCCCCGGCCACGGGCACGGCGCTGGCGCCCGGGGGCAGCCGCGGGCGGCTCGGGACGCGGAGCCTCCCGTGAGGAGAGCGGGGACTCCGGCACTCGTGCGGCTCCTGGGACAGGGCCGCGGGGCAGGGCCGCGGGGCNAGGAGGTGGAGGAGGCGGGAGCGGAGGGAGGACACGGGGAGGCGGCTGCTGCTGCTGGGCAGAGAGGAGTCGTGCAGGAGCAGCGACCGCACTCGGACGCCACATTCCCTCTTTACGGGGCTGGTGGTGAGGATGAGCGAGAGCTGACCCTGCCGCGCCGCCGCCTGTGCTGTGAAGTGTCTGCTCCTCCTCCTCCTTCTCTTCCTCCTCCTCCCCGGCTGTGGGTGAACCTGCGCTACGGGCTCTTCACCGACACGGGGGAGGTTGGTTTGTTTGTGCATTTGTTTAAGGCAAAGAGAGAGAAAGAGAGATCTCCCACCCGCTGAAGGACAGTTCACTATGATCGTACTCGCATCCAGCACTGGAAGCCGGTTGGATTTCGTGTCTCAGTCCAGGGTGTTTTTCTTGCAAACCTTCATTTGGATTTTATGTGCTACAGTGTGCAAAGCGGAGCAGTATTTCAATGTGGAGGTAAGATCAGCCGGATGCGTGTGCGAGCGTGTGTGCTTCCCCCTCTCCCTTTCCTCCCTTCCCTTTTTTTATGTCCCTCAAATCAAATCAAATAGCCAGCCAGCCATGTCTTCCAGCAGCCAGGGCATACGTCTGTGTAGGCTTTCCTTCCAGCAGCCGGTAGCTAGCTCCCCTCCCCGCGCTGCCCCGCCTGATGGATGCGTTCGAGCCGGAGATCCCGTTATCCCGGCAGCGCGGTGCCGGAGCGCAGCCCGCGGGGGACGGGAAACCCTCACCCGGCCACGGAGGAAACCCGGGGCGCGCTATGTGCGTGCAGCTCAGGAAAGGTTCGCGGAATGTCTTGCGTTTAGTATACCGCTGTATTGCTGAGTTTTCCCAGCCTTTTTTGGTTTGGTTTGGTTTGGGGTTTTTTTCGAAGTAGAATGAATGAAAGAGCGTTATGGGGACAAGAGGAAGGAAACTTGAGAATTTTGGCACGTTTCTTTGTAGTAGAGTATCTGAAAAAAAAAAAAAAAAAAAAAAAAAAGAGATCTTTTTCCTATGTAGACGTAAGAAAAAGAGTTGCCACTAGAAATAGTGAAACAAACGGCATAAAGGTGCAACTACAGCTCGGAAGTTAGGGGGTGTGGAGAACAGGAAAACAGTATTTTTCTGAGAGAAAATGAAGATTCAAATCTGGGGATACCAAGATGGAGCAAGTCCTAAGAGTTTACACTCACAGTGGCCATCCATTTCCAGTCACCTTTGTCTACTCTCCCAGTTTTCCCATTAGGAGTTTTTACATAGTGCTTTCACATTACTAAACTAATGTTTCTTTACTGACTTTTATCATCTTTGCATATATTATTTCCTCCTTTTTCTCCATCCTGTCACTCCGTTTGTTCTGCTATGATCCCCTACTTTGCTGCAATGTGATGTGTCTATTTCCTTCTTCTTTTCCTTGTCAATTCAACTTACTGATTTTTCATGTTTAGTCTCTGTGACTTATGTGTGCTCTCTCAACTTCTTATATGTAATTCTGGTATTCTGTTAGGTCGCTCTGTACCCTCACTTTCTTCTGTCCTGCCAACCCCACTCAAAACTTTTTGCTGCACCCATACACCAGCCTTTCTTGTTTTATAGTTTCTTTAGTCTCCTAGGTTCCCATCATTTTTTCCTCTCAGAAAAATGAAGTCTGTGTCCCTGTCTCACACATATGCACACTTGCTTGTTTTATACGAGCTCTTGTTCTCACTCAGTGACACACATTCTTGCTCCTTTCTCTGACAAGATTGCTCATGCAGATCCTCCTCTGTTCCTAGACTGTCTAAAGTTCTTACCTGTATGTCTTCTCCCTCTGTCTCATGCAAGATCACAACAAATGTATAAAGAATCCACATTTTATTTCTCCATGTCTGTTTTCATCCTATTCTTTCCTTCTCTACAGGCAGTTTCCTTTGCAATTCTCTCAGCTTAACAACATTCATCCATTGATTCTTTCTTTGATGTCTATCTCTCCAGAAAGTATTGTCTTTTTACTCTGTCATTAAAATCTCTCCTGATTATAAATTCAAGCCTTTTTCTCTGTCATATATGCTCTAGTCACTCATTTGATCCTTATCACAAACGTGCATCTCTGCTTTTGTTGGATTGTAAGGTCTTTGGAGCAGTACTCATACTTCTCACGTGTTTATCTGGTGTGTACCATGCTCTGGAGTACGATTGTGAGACTTCTGCTATATGAATATTAGAGCTGCATATTTAAGAGCACACACTGACGTTTTATCCTTCTGCTCATGTCCTCAGCTGCCTTCTTTACTGATGAGCAGGGGAAGGAGCGTGGAAGAGAGGAAGTTGCTCTCTGTATCCTCCCCATGCTTCACAGGCTGGCCCCCTGCAGAGTATAGGGATGAAATTCCAGCGACAGAACTTTCTCCTCCCACAGCAGTCTGCTTTGCTGGCATCTGGCTCTGCTGGAGAGACGGGCGGCAGATGGAGCTAGTGTGGGAGGAGAAAAAGATTGGTTTAGTCAAGTGGAATATGAACAGGAGGCCAGCTCCAGTCAGGAGGAGGTTTTCCGAGGAAAGAAGGGAAACACTTTCATTTTTGCCACCTCTTCCATATGGGAAGCAGCACATTTTGAGGGTAAAGGCAATATCAGGAGCAAGAAACACTGTTAGATGGAATGAAGTGGCATGTATGTGTGATGAGGGCAACATATTTCTCCTTTTTGAAATATGCCATCTTCTGCTCTTCTTTCCAGCCCTTCTGAAAACAAAGAATGTTATCATATGCCAATGCTTCTAGTCTTTTCATATTTAAGTCTTTGAGTCTCACATTGCTGTGAGCCAGAAGCGTGTTCCAGGGGATTGCTGTATTATTTGAGAGTTGTTCTAATCTGGGGCTTTTTCCTAGGTCACTGCCTTTGGCCACTGCTGGTGACATGGTCCTGGCCTAAATGAACCTCAGATTTGCCCCAGAACAGCCATTGCTGTGTTCACATTGTTGGATAGTGCTGAAAATTCAATTTTCTTTTTGCTGGGAACAGCAAAGGCTAAAAGCAAGGGAAATTTGAGGCAAAGGACTTGGCAACAGCAAGTATGTATTGTGCTGTAAAACTCTGCATGTCAGCACAAGTGCATAAAGCAGTTGTACTTCAGAGTAAATTGTGAAAATATGACAAAGATTTCTTATGACAATAAGTATGCAAAGTAGGCTTCAGGAAAGAAGTAGTGTACATATAGTTGAGTGAAATGTCATTGAAAAAAAGTGCTTAGAATGGTTGGAAAGCAGATTTACTTTTCATTCTTTCTTGTCTTTAAATAAAATACAAATAATACCTGTTGAACATCATAAAATGTGGAGATGATTTATTTCCTCTTGTTCTGTCTTGTTTAATCCGCTTTCCTGATTGCTAAGTAAAATCTGTGCAGTCTTGTTGAATTTTTTGGTTGCTTTGTTTGTTTCAGTGCTGTGAGTCAGGGCAATTCTTAAGAGATACTGCCTGTAGCTCAAATACATTAAATAATAATGTTTCCTTTTAAAAATAAAACACAAAGCTGAAATTTCCAAGCTAGTATGAACATTTCTGTTCCTTATAATTTGCTTGTCTCTCCATAAAATTTCTTTTAGCCAAACAACTGAATGGAGGAATTCTTCAACCTTCCAGTGATAGCTGAATTCAGCTGTCTATCCTGAAACTGTATTCATGTATACAGTATTTGATGTAATAGACACAGCAGAGTAGGATTTGGGTCATGGAGTATGGTACGTAAGAGGGGCACACTTGCACTCTATACTGGTGAGAGTTTTGTGCTGAAGCTTCATGAGAGATGGTTGTAACTGATACGTTAAGAAATCACAATGAAATTTAGGAATCACTTAGTTGTATGTGCAGGAAGCTTTTAGCATTAATTTTCAAAGTTCATTGATTACCAGTAGCATTTTTGTGAGACTTTGTTTCTGACATCATGAGAAAAACTAAGGACTACGCTCTTAGCTCCCTCTTTTGGAGCTGAACTATTGGTCCAAAACAGTAACTTCATTAAGTATATTAGTGAAAGACTGTGTTATCAGTGTTGAGTTTTGCTGCTATTTTCAACTATTTCTGTACACTACCAGGGGCAGATGTCCATCATTAGGATAGTGAATGGAATAATAGTTACGAAAAGAACATTCCACATATAAAACTGAATCAAACACATAGAAGCTAATTGTTACTAAAAAGTGATAGAGCAACAAACTATCTTCTTCCCCCTAATGGGCTCCTTACTATGGTAATAATATTTTCTGTGGCACAATTTGTGTGTTACTGAGAGTGTCTATAGATGGTATTTCACAAGTATCATCCATCTAGTGTATATATATATATATTTGTTCTCCTAAACTAAACAATATCCCACTGTCTGAGCTGGTATTGTTCTGCAAATTTATCTCCCAATGTACTTGAATAATAAGTATGTTTATATTTAATTAACTATTAAATATCCAATATAAAAAAATGAAAAAAAATGTTTCCATTTTGTTACGGGAAAAATGAAATATTGAAACAAAAATACCTTGATCCAAAGATAGGATCAGCATGCACCTAGAATATGATTGATCTCTGGAACATAATGCTGCTTACTCTTAACTCAGATGATTATCTGCCTAAGCCCTATCGAGGAAAGTGTTTTTAGAATTCCACTTAGTTTCACTGACTGTATCTGTGATGTGGGAAACACAAGAGAGAAAGCATGCCTCTCTCTCTCATCTCTCTCCTCAGACTGTCAGTTTTGCTGTTTTTCTCCTTCTATTGCTAAATGTATAGACTTGAATCCCTAGAGGACGTCTTAAAAGGACTCTTATTTTAATGTGAGCAGATCTTTAAAACAATACAGTTGTCTCCCATTTTCAAAAGTGGGATTGCATATTGTGGAACAAAACACAGTGGAATCCAAACTTCAGAAAAATAACATCAGTTTCCTCCATTGTAATAAGTTTCTGAGAACCCCATTGTTTTCATTGTTAATAAACTTTACAATTAGCCTCCAGCTTCTGCTAAATGGTAAGGCATGACCTTTTATTCCATAATCTCTTATTCTAGACTTAAAACCAGACCAGTTTCATTTTTCAGCTGGCAACTGGAAAGGAATAAACATTTGGGAGTGGAAAAAATCCTGCAATATCACCTTTACATACTTTTGAACTGGTAGACTTGGTTGTGAGATTTATAGGCACAACACAATACTTTTCTAGTTCATTAAAATGCAAGCTGAAAACTACAGCAAAGCAATTAAGGTAGTTTTGGTATCAGTAGTACCATGTGTCCTAACAGGAATTTACAGGATCTTCTGCATTGCTTTAAGCTACAGTCAGTATGCATGATTCTCAATTACTTAAATTCTGAAGCTCACTCTTGCATAGGATATCAAGATGAAATGAACTGGACTTTTGTTCGAATAAGGAGTTCAAACTGAAATTGTTAAAAAGATGGAGAGGAGTTACTGAATCAGGTGAAGAAGATGATTAGTGGATGAAATATTAGTTAAGGAAAATGCAGATATAATGTGGCGTATTTCGTATTTGCTTATTAATGAAAAACAGATACAAAGAAAAATCCCAAATAAAGGTCTCTGGGGAGTAGATATATCTAGATAAAGAAAAATAATTGGAAAATTATGTGTCTGGTGGTAGGCAACAGAATGCTTTTCTATGAAAGGAGAATACCTACTATATAAAGAACTAGCTTTCATTTGATATGAAGAAATACATGTGAAAAAATACTACTTAGTTGTTAGAGTGCATTTTCTACTGTAAAGTGTGAGATTATTTTGTGCTACTGACGTTGGAGGGAAATTCATGTATTCTGTTGCTTGTATTTTTTTCAAAGACAGGTTGGAAGAATGGTGCCTGTTCTTCTGGTTCACTGCTGACATAGTATGTAATACCTAGGTACAAAACATATTTGTTTATTATTATAGTTCAACTTGTTTTCCTGTTGCAAATTTTTGTCAGTTTAGTGTTTAAGCATCACAGCTATTAGTGAATCTCAATTCTACTAAAGAAAAGAAATAAAATGGTTAAGGAGATTTATGTAATCACCTTATGTAGTGCAAGATAAAACTACAAAAACATGTTCCTAATGTTTTCTGACATGAGAGCTTACTAAAATAAATACAAAATTTATTAGCCCACCAGTAAACCTTGAACAAGCCCAAGCTCTCCCATTCCATTATTTTGAAAGCATAATGTAAAACTCCTGCAGAACCATTCATTGTTTCTTCAAAGTGGATATACTGTGTTCTTTAACTGGTTTAAGATTTATGTTGCTCTTTGTCAGTTTTATTTGAATCCATCTAAAAGGTCAGTGCTTGCTCTAGGCACCTCAGCTTTGCTTATGCACTCAGCAAGACTGTGTTGTAAGAGTTTATAAAGATAGAATGTGGTATTATATAGATTTTAAAGCATTTCAAAGTGCATCTGTTTTTAGTATTTTAAAGTCTGTCTCATCCTTGTACTTTACCGAATCATCGTTTTATGATGTTAAACATTGCAGGATTTTGTGTTGGTACTGTTTGAAGATCCTTAAGGGAACAATGTAACATTAAAAAAAAAAAAATAATTAATTACCCTATTTAAATTGCTTAAATATTCTCAGCTCTCTATTTCAGATTCCAGTTTATTGCCTTTTTGCCATCCTCAAACTGCACTGTTGACCATAATCTGAAGGAGCAGGTTGAGTCTGTTTAATTTGTTATCTGTGATATGTCAAATGACAGATTTGGTTTCATTCTGTATGAGGAAGGCCAGGATTAGTGCTGCAAACATGATTTTAGTTGGCACTGAAATGGATCTGAAAAATAATTATGATTAGAGCTTTATCCTTTAAAGAGAGGTCATGCTATTTGGGACCTTTATTTATTGGTTACCTGGCAACTGTTCATTCATGTTCCTGTTTATCATCATTCATTGTAAGCATCTTTGGTGTACACTAAGAGCAATTAAGTGGCAACACTTTATTTCTGTAATAAATTAGATTTGACATAAATTACAGATAAAGAAAAAAAAAAATTCAGTAGTTTTACTTATTAACCAAAACTGTTGGTACAATGTTTCTTTGCTTATTAACAGCTAGTTTATACCAGCTGAGGAGTTCAGCTGTAATAATAATGTTTCTAGCATACCTTTTGAGGTATTACAGCACATAATTTACTTAGGGGCTTGTTCAGGTATTTTTGCCATGTTTAGAAACTCCTGTTAATTTCAAGATCAAGGCTTCAGGGTTCTAGGAAACTTAAGTCCTGTTGATTTCAGAACTTAATACTAGGCAATCCAATCTCAAGTATTGAAGCTTGAACCCAGTCATTGGGAAAGTGGTTTCACATTCTAGAGTTAAAACTGCTGTGCTAGGAGATGTGCAGGTGAAGCAATAAGAAGAACATTAAAGTCACTTGATGCTTTCTCTCTGTAGAACAGCAGTTTTTATTACACTGTGAAAAAAACATAAAGCATATTATTCAACAATTGCTTTGTGACTGTGGATGAAAATATTTTGTTCTCCTTGTTAATTCATTATTAATCATATCATGATTAACCCTTGTGTGGAATAGCAGTTTGGAATGAGACTGCTGAGTTCTGGACTATTTGTAGAAGATGTCTTTGTAAAGAATATTGAAGAAAATTCCTTATGGCTGCATCTTAGAAGAGCATCTACACTGTGTGGCCAGGGTAGTAGTAGATTTATATCTCTGCTGTTACCACTTGCTAGGTTTGCCTCTACTCTGGTTGGCACAGTGCTTTGGAAAAGAGGCCATCTCTATTCACATGGATGATAAGAATGCTATCAGGAGTAGTCAGCGTGGTCTTACTCAGGGTAAATCATGCTTGACCAGCCTGATTGCCTTCTGTGATGAAACAGCAGCCTGGATGGATGAGGGGAGGGCAGGGGATATTGTCTTACCTTGACTTCAACAAGGCTTTCAACGCTGTCTCTCACAATATCCTCATAGGCAAACTCAGGAAGCGTGGAGTGGGTGAGTGGACAGAGAGGTGGTTTGAGAACTGGCTGAACAGCAGATCCCAGAGGGTGGAACAGTAATCAGTGGCACAGGGTTTGGTTGGAGGTCTGTCACTGGTGGTGTCCCCCAGGGTTCAGTATGGGCCCAATATTGTTTAACTTTTCACCAATAACTTGGATGAAGGGGCAGAGGCCTCCTCA